AGAGATAGACAGGAAGGAAATGGAGGAGGATGTGGAACATTCATAAAACAAGGAATTCAATATCAGATATTAAAAAAAGGAATAGAGTTAGAATATATAATGATGAAAATATGGGGAGAAGAAGGAAAGTACAAGATAATAAATTTCTATAACCCATGCAAAGCACTGTCACTTGAGGTGATGGAGGAGGTGTTAAAATATGTGGATGGGAAAGTGGTGTGGTGTGGGGACTTTAATGCACATAGTACTTTTTGGGGGGAAAGTAATGATAGAAATGGACAAATAATGGAAGAAGTGATGGAAACTAAAAACCTTGTATGTATTAATGATAGAAGGGGAACAAGAATAAGGCGCAGAGTCAGCAATTGATCTTACATTTGTATCAAATTCATTAGCTGGAGTTTGTATGTGGGATGTTGATAAAAGCACAGTAATGGGTAGTGATCATTATCCTATCAAACTTTCAATGGGCATAAAACCAGAGAATAACACAGTAGAAGGAAATAGAAAGTTACTATTTAATAAAGCAGACTGGAACAAATTCAAATATATTACTGATAGAGAGCTACAGAAAATTGATATGTCAACAGACAGTAATAATGTTAATTTTTGTATATGCAAGGTTATACAGGAAGCTACAGAACATTCAATAAAAAAAGGTGGAAGAATGAGCGAAAAGAAGATAGTACCTTGGTGGACAAATGAATGTAACAAAGCCATAAAGACAAGAAATAAAGCATTTAAAGCACTAAAAAGAAATCCTAGTTATCAGAACTTCATCGAATATAAAAGAAAACAAGCAATGGTAAGAAAAATCACAAAGAATGCAAAGAGGGAATATTGGAGAAACTTTTGTAATACTATTGGAAAAGAAACAAAAATTGAAAAAATCTGGAAAATAATAAAAAGAATGAATGGCATCAAAAAAGAATATGGATATCCAGTATTAAATGTAGATGGCACAGCAATAGTAAATTATAAAGAAAAAGCTGAAATAATAGCAACAACATTTAGCAAAATTCATAGTTCCAATAATATTAGTAATGAAGGAAAGAGAGGGAGGGAAACTACAAAGTTAAAATACAAAGATTTAATGAAGAATATGGAAGAAACTGATAATTTATTGAGCAAACCTTTTCAAAAAGCAGAACTAAATAGAGCACTCAGGAAAACAAAACAAACAGCACCTGGAAAAGATCAGATATGGTACACCATGATAGACCACCTTAGTGAAAAGTCCAAAGAAACCATTTTAGAACTATACAACAAAGTCTGGGAAGAGGGGGAGCTACCACAAAGCTGGAAAGAATCAGTCATCATATCTATAGCAAAACCAGGAAAGGATCATACAAAGCTGGAAAATTACAGACCAATAGCATTAACATCAAATATATGTAAAATAATGGAAAAAATGATCAATGATAGACTAATGTATTATTTGAACAGTAAGGGATACATATCTAAATTCCAAAGTGGTTTTAGAAAAGGAAGGGACACTAATGATGCAACATTAAAATTAGAACACGAGATCAGGAGAGCACAGATAAAGAAAGAAAGTGTGGTGGCTGTATACTTTGGCATAGAAAAGGCATACGATATGTTATGGGTTGAAGGATTATTAATTAAAATGTACAAACTAGGAATTAAAGGAAGAATGTTCAGATGGATATAAAACGTTTTAACAAAAAGATCGATACAAGTAAGAATACAACAAGAATATTCAAAGAAATACTTTGTGGAAAACGGAACACCACAGGGAAGTATTATAAGTCCATTACTATTTTCTATAATGATAAATGATGTTTTTACAGAGATTGAGAAGGGGGTGGGATGTTCATTATTTGCAGATGATGGAACCATTTGGAAAAGAGGGAAAAATATAAAATTCACTGTGAAGAAAATACAACCAGAGGCTATATTAAAAATTGAGAAATGGGCAAATGATTGGGGATTCAAATTGTCAGTAGATAAAACAAAAATAATGATATTTACACAGAAAAGAGTCAACAAAGAGATTAAATTGAAATTATATAATCAAGAACTAGAACAAGTTAAGTGTATAAAATATTTGGGTATATGGTTTGATGAGAAAATCATATGGAATGTACATATACAAAAGATTATTGATAAATGTAAAAAAAATCTTAAACATGAGATGTTTAGCTGGGAATGAATGGGGTGCAGATAGAACGGCACTAAAACAAATTTTTACAGGACTTATCAGATCAAATACAGCTTATGGTTGTGTAATTTATGGATCAGCAGCAAAAACACATTTGGAGAAACTGGACAAAATACAATACCAAGCATTAAGACTATGTACAGGGGCATTCAAAACCACCCCAGCAGCAGCACTTGGAGTGGAAATGGGAGAAATACCGTTAGCAATGAGATGAGAACAATTAGCAGTAAACTACTGGATCAATCTTAAAGGAAATAACCCGGAACACCCAACACTAGATATTTTAAAACCAAGCTGGGAGAAGGAGAAGAAAGAGACAAGAAGTTTTGGATGGACAATAGACCAGAAAACAAAAGAAATGCAAATAGATAACTTAGACATCAGCCCAGTAGTACCATCCATCCATCCATTATCTTTACCCGCTTATTTCATTTTGGGTCACGGGGGTCACTGGTGCCCATGTCCAGCAATCACTGTGCGAGGGGCAGGGTACACCCTGGACGGGTCGCAAGTCCATCACAGGGGCACATAGAGACAAACAACTATTCACTCTCTCATTCACACCTAGGGACAATTTAGAGTTACCAATCAGCCTAACATGCATGTTTTTGGTCTGTGGGAGGAAACCGGAGCACCCGGAGAAAACCCACGCATGCACGGAGAGAACATGCATACTCCACCCAGAAAGGCCCCTGGACCGGGGTTTGAACCAAAGACTTGCTCGCTGAGAGGCAGCAGCTCTACCAGTTGCGCCACCGTGCTGCCCCCCAGTAGTACCAATACCAACAATACCACCATGGCTTCTTCCAAATGCATCAGTTGACTTGACACTCATGGACAAGAAAAAAGACAGAAGATTTATTTTTAACTCATATACAGTACAGGACCATATCAATAACTACTATAACTATATACAGATTTATACAGATGCATCAAAAACATCAGAGAAAGTAGGAGTGTCATATGTAATACCAGAATTCAACATAGAAGTAAGGAAAATAATCACAAATGAAGTATCCATATACACAGGGGAGATGTTGGCAGTACTGTTGGCAGTACAGTGGGTAGAAGACACAAGACCGTTAAAAACAATCATCTGTTCAGACTCAAGCTCTACACTCATCAGTTTGCAAAATAGTCATTCAGAAAGCCGACCTGACATTTTACTAGAACTACAACCAACATTATTCAGAATACAAATGATGGGACTGACAGTGATATTTTTATGGACACCAGCACATATAGAACAAATAAATATAAATAAATATGACTTGACATATAGGGATCAGAGGGAATGAAGCAGCGGACAGGGCAGCAAATGCAGCAACAAAAGATCAAATCAATTTTACAATATCCATCAGTAAATCAGAAGTAAGAACCATAGTGAAACAAAAACTAAAGGAAAAATGGCAAAAACATTGGGAAGAAAAGCACAAAGGACGATGGTACTACAGAATACAGAGACAAGTGGGAGAAACGATAACAGGAGGGAGGAACAGAAGAGAAGAAAGACTAATAACCAGAGTAAGATTTGGACATACAGGACTTAACAGCACACTACACACAATTCAGAAACATGATACAGGACAATGTGAGCACTGTGGACAAGAGGAAACAATAGAACATGTCATTTTGGTCTGTCAGAAATATGAACATCACAGAAGGCGTATGATGGAACAATTAGGAAAAATCAAATAAACATTTAGTATAATAAATATATTGCAAAAGGAAACAAGAAGTAAAAGTATTCAAATCATTATACATTTTTTCAAAAACACAAAATTAGATAAGAGAATATAAACATTCAGACATAGCCATTTTGATCCACACTCCATACCAGTAGGTGGCGGTAATGCTCACCTTCCATTGTTTGCCAACCGCCATAAAATCCCATAAAGAAGAAGGGTGCTTGCCAGATAGTCGAAAACAGTTTACTGCCAGTAGTTATCCCGCGCTCTTAATCCCTTGTACCTGTATGTAGTGATGAGGCTTTTATGAAGCACTGAACCAGTTGGGCCAAATATTTCAAAAATAGGTTCATTTGTTGAAGCTTCAGTTACAGTGACCTCTTGTGGTATTTTGCAATGCTGCTCCAATTAGGCGTTATGCTTTTGGTGGCACACACTGAAGAACTTCATTGACTAGTGTTAAAGAAAGTACTTTACTGTGGTAAAAAACATGTTTTTTTAAATTCATCAACTTTCTATGTTGTCTGGTTTGAAAATGTATTTATACTTACATGTTTTTGAATAAAGATTGATAAATGTGCATTGAAGAGATTTAATAAAAATGTTGCCATGGTATTGTGTTTCTGTAACTGTGGCAGAGTCCGAGTCTTTATCATTCTTAAAAATAACAATGAATTGAGATCTCCAGCATCTCCGTATTTGGTGCTGAAGTGTCTAATCATAGAGGAGGTATCATGATGCTTCAGTTCAGCTGAACACACCAAACACTGCACCTGTAGAAATACACTAATGTAAATAAAAATAATAATTTGAGCTCATACTGATATATGATTATTAAAATCACATACATCATTTTACTGTAATTATATTAAATACATGGGTTAAATGGATTAGATAATATCTTCACTGCTATAACTTTTTTGACATTTAAATGCCAAAACCATCTTATCATGAGCAGAATGAAGTGTTCCCACATGTTAGAACGACCTCTTTTCCTGGCTGGCTCTATAATTACTCAATTTCAACTAACGACAAAAACACCCTCTCCCAACACATTACAAACATTTTAGAGCTATTTCATAGTGTTGAGCACTCTCAATTCAAAACTGTCTCAACCTGTCTCCTGTCAGAATCGAGACGAGGCGGTGTCAGAGAATCAGCTGTTTGGACCGCGAACCAGTCAAGTGATTCATTCCGACAACAAAACGGTTTGTGTTTCGGACGTCACGTGTCACATGACCTTTTCCGCACCAAAAGAGGCTCCAAAGCAGTGGTCCGATGTAATTTTACTGCAGGGTTCGAATCATGTTTTGAAGCTTTTGTTTCATACTACCATCACTACCTGTATGTCATAGTTTATCATAGTGTTTACCCAGTTTAGTCACTTGTCCTCCTTGCTCCTGTCCCGTTCCCTGGTTTGTATCCTTACCTCTATGGTTCACTCTCCCGGCTTCCTGACTCATCGCCTGCCTGACTTCGCCTCCTGCTCGACCCCCTGGACTGATGCCTCTCTGAAAACAGTAACGACCCCCGCCTGCATGACAACGTCCTCTCGCCTTACCTGTTTGGACCTGTCGCCCATCTGCTTCCTGGTTTCGGACTCTCGCCTGCTGGACTTCCCTCTGCGCCTCACGGATTGGTACCGTTGGTCATCTGCCGCCTGGTTTCGGACTCTCGCCTGTTGGACAAGCCTCTTCATCTCATGGACTCCAAACACTGGCTCACAGCTGCAGCTGGCTGCCTTCCCTCACCGGAACCAGCTTTTCCTGCAGCTACTCAGTCCTGCTGGAACGACATCAGTCTCTGGACCCCCTTCAACCAACGAGACAGTTAGTGGTCACTTTTCTTTGACTGTTACACTTGCCCCTGTCACCAGCTTGACCACTGACCGTTCTCTTCCTGTCAACAGACTCGTTCCAGCCCAGACGCCCAGAACTTGACACCAGAACCAGTTTCGACCCAATTCCACTAAAGCGGGTCCTCATAATAGACTTGGTTTAACTTGCTTATTTGTTGTGGTGATTTTGGTCCAGCCCCTTTTTAAGGGGGGGTTCGTTACACAATTACATCTGCTTGAACAACGAAAAAATTATAATAATATTAATAAAATGATAAAGTAAAAATGAATGAATAAAAAACTGATTAAAAAATAATAATTAATATAATAATAAAAATGAATAAATGAATCAGTAGGAATAAATCGGTCTTTTTTTTACATTTATTTTTTTTTTTACTTAAAAAATAAAATTAAAGCAAGTCCTTATTAGCACAAAGTGATGTGAAACATGATTGTTGCAGCAGGCTGCTGCGTTGTGTTGCTCTGCGAGGTGCTGGGCTGCGACAGAGCTCTGGCCGGTGTAGATTCTGCTGGTGGAGCAGGAGCAGAAGCCGGGAGGCTTGGAGGGTCCAAAATGGAATTTATAAATGAACCGTTACATGCCGAGTTACATTCTGGATCAATACAGTGAAAAACAGGAACAGAGTACAGTAAGCATTTATGCTAATTAGCATAGTATTGATGCTGCCCGATTATAGCGTCAGGAGATTTTTTTAGTTCAAAATATGTTCAGAACTGATGGGATGAGTTACTTAAAATATGTTTAAAGTTAGAAAACACCATATTCAATAACTGAATCAAGAATAGCAGTGGCCGTGTCCAAGCCACTCTCCCAGCTTGGCAATTACCTTAAATTACCAGTTAAGCAGTGAATACAGGGTGCAGTAGTGGGTACGATAACTGGCTGTGATTATCTTACCCACCACTGCACCCTGTATTCACTGGTTAACTGGACATCATTAACTTCATGCAGACTCTCTCATTGGTACATTTTCATCTTTAAATCACTTCTTGGTCTGCTGCCTTCATACATCTCCTCCTACATGTCTCTGTGTGAGTGCAGCTACAGCGTGCACTCTCAGGACATTATTACCTGCAGTGTTCCCTCAGTGCGGACTGAACTAGGCAAAGGCCCTTCTACTCTGCTCCTGTTTCCTGGAATATCTTACAAAAAGATTTGAAGCTCTCAACCGTGACCTCTCTAAGTGGCTTTAAGAATCTGTTGGACTCCTGGCAGGGACCAATGCAGACATGTTCCTGTTTTTAGTTTTCTACATTTGCCTTGGTATCTAGCTGTTTTTTGTTACTTTTCTTTTTTTAACCATCCTATTCATAAAAATAAAAAAAATTAAATCTGTATGCCTTTTTATAACTATCATAGTTATAAATATCATTTTATAACTATACTAACACTGTCTATTGTTGTCGCTTTTGTCCATTGTTGTCATCATTCTTTGTTGAAATCAGATCTCTTGTAAATGAGTCCTCGAGGCTCAGTGGGATTTACCTGTCTAAATAAAGGTTGAATGAATGAAAAAATGGCTTCTATGATAGAACAACTTCCAATTTCACCGGTATGATCCACTCCTGTCATTGTGGTCTTGAATTTTCAGTAATCGCCTTTAGTTTCTTTAGCTTCTCCCGACATTGCTTGGGTGTTCGCTGGTAGCCGTGAGAAGCCATCAACTCAATACCTCTTTAAACACCTTCTCATTACGAGTTGCTCCATCTAGCTCGCTCTGAATTTTTTCATCGGCCACGACGCACAAAAATGCATGCACTTTAGCATTTGACCACGACTTTGACATGTTTTTTTTTTTAAATATATTTTCAAAATACGCACAAATACGCTCCTCGAATACGCTCTTCAAGTTATTGCCAATGGCGAGCTGAAAAAAATGGCGGATCGAGTTGGTTATTAGTTTCACCAGGGGATGGCGAGAAACGTAATTTTGATTCTTTGTACGTCTGTAAATATGATGGAATTGACAATAAAGTAGACTTTGACTTTGACTTTGAAGTTCCCCGTCAGTCACCACAGTCCTTTAGATGCACGTTACATAATTACAATCTGAGCCAGACAGTTCAAATATAGGATGACAGCTCCGGTTCTGAAAACATTGGGACAATGTGCAAAATCTAAATAAAAACATCAAATAGAATGCAATCATTTGCAAATCTGATAATCCCTTTTTTCCACATTGGAACATAACAAACATCAAAAAATTAAACAGACATTGTACCATTTTTTAGGAAAACGAAGTCATTTTGAGTTTGATTGCAGCAACGCATTCAGAAGAACTGAGACAGGGCCCAGCTTGGTTGTCCTGATCTGCTCTAAAGTGCTATGTGTTGTCATCAATGTATGTTCCCATACAAAGGCAAAATTGGCTTTCTGCATTTAATCCATCACAGTGGGAGCAGTGGGCAGCTATGTAAGCACCTGGGGAGCAATTTGAGATTAGGTGTCTTGCTCAGAGACACCACGAGATGTGCAATGACCAGAGATCGAACCCAGGACCTTCGGGTCCCGAGTCTGCTGCCCTGCCCCTACACCATCTCGACCCCAAATTTGATGGAGGATTCAAGCCGTTCAACACTTTTGGCCATTCTTGCTAGATATTTTATGTGCTTTGAGTATCTTGATAAGATAGAAAAGTGCTATATAAGCACAGTCCATTTACCATATTTTGTTTCATGGTATTGTTAATGTTTTCAGTTGGTGATTGGTCTGGACTTCGGGTAGGTCAGTTCAGCACCTGAACTCTACAAAGCCCTGTTGCTGTGATGGATGCAGTATAAGGTTTACCGTTCGTTATCTTAGTAAAATATGCAAGGCCTTTCAATGAAGGTGACATTGTCTGGATGCAAGCTTATGCTGTTTTAAAAACTGTACACATTTCTACATGGATGTTACCTTTTCAAATGTGTAGGTCAGCTCACCAGCACTAATGCACCTCCATACCATCAAAGCTTTGTGGCATCTGTGGTTTCCATCTAGAATCTATTCAAACTTCTTACAAGTCTATTTTGGGTGATTTAGTTCAAAGTGGTCAGCTCTGACAGCCTCAGACTCTTTCTGCAAATTACTTTTAAATTTTATTTATTTTTTTACTTTTTCCATGTACTTCTTTCCGCTAATTTTTGCTTTTTTTTCTACTCATTTCAGTTTTTTGTTGCTAATTTCAGATTGTTTGTATTCTATACAGCCTCTCTGTCTACTTCCTTTTATTCTGTTAATTTCTGCTGTATTCAGTTCTATTTCGTATAAGCTTCGCCCTTTAAGGCCTTCGCTTTAGTGGGTTTATACCGTTATGCGCAGCATAGGCACTGAAAAAAAATTTAGTCCACGCCCACCTGCTATGTGGGCCCCACCCGGTCCGTATAAATTACGTTAAGAGCGGGAAATCGGCTGCCATTTTTTCTTCAGCGAGCTAAAATAGCACTGTCAGAAGAACAAAGAAGGAAAATTGTGTAAATGACCAACCTTTGTTAAGGATGCTTGGCCCGGCAGTCGAACTCCGGTAGTCCGGTGAGTTCTCCTCCCCGAGGAGAAGATGACGAGCAGTCTTATTTCAAGGTAAGCGCCGAGGAATATTTCCCAGTGACAGGTCACTACACGCTGGACAACGCTATCTTGTATTTTTTCCTCTTATCGCGACCCTCTGAGCGAATCGGATGGTTCCTCCGGGACAGGCGTGCTCAGCTGCAGCCCCCGCTGCTCATTCCCTCCTGGGGAGCGTAGTGTCGGTGGAGGGGGGCTGAGTGAATGCTCACCCCATCCCACCTCGTTTTCGCATCGGCGATCACACCGCTCCCGGCCGACGGCGCCCTCAGGGGTTGCCCGGCGTAACCCAGGAGGAGGCTGACATGAAAGGACCCTTTTTTACGTCCTACGCCTTTCCCGCCAGTTTGGATGATCCGGCGGGAAGATTGTTTACTGGCCTCCATTCCGGCTCACCGTCTTGACCCATATGGCCTCGTGCTCCCAACAGGACGTCCTACGGGTGAGGCCACAGACGGGTTCTTTCCTGGTAGATTGGGGGAGCCGGTCTCCACAGTCCGCACCCATCTCCAGAGCAGGGGTTCACTGAGCGGAAAGTCCCTCCGTGCCCTCTGGAGCCGAGCCTGATGGAGGCTTCATTGGAGTAAGATGTTCGAGATGGACCAGCGTCCTGTGCCTCCGGTTAGCATAACCGAGACGGTGACACCGCTCTCCAACTGAGCTCACCAGCATGTGTTCCACACGGCCGCAGCGAACAACACGTTACGCTGTTGGCGTACACGTTCAGAGGCGGGAAGAGACAGTGGCCCTCTGTCCTTCGGCTCACTCCGCTCTCGCAGCGGCTGC